AATATTCACCAAATGATATTGTGACCAAGTTTTGTATAATTCAAAGGAAAGACACGGGTTCGAATTTTTAAAATTGCATTAAAACCAATAAATTTTAACATATATTATTTTGGAAATTTTAGTGTCAAAGTTCAATAAGTGCCATAATGGTTCCTTCAGTATCCTAAGGAAATGTCATATGTTCAAATTCAACAAATGAAGAGCACGAGTTAGAATTTTTGCAATTGCATTAAAACGACTAAAATTTAACATATATAATTTTGGTAAGTTCAGTGTCAAAGTTCATTAAGTGTCATAATTGTCAAGCTTCAATAATTTTAAGTAGAGGTCACAGGTTCGAAACTCCTCTCTATTGCATTAAGTTTTGTAAAAATTGTACAACTAAAAAATTCCACAATAAATCGATTGAGATGGGATTTGAAACCGGGACCTCCAAAATGAATATGCAGATTCTAACTAGCTAAGCTATAAGAAATGTTTGAACATGAAATGAATTATCAGCTATATAATCTATAAAGTTTATCTATTGTAAAAAAAAAAAAAATGGTTCCCAACGAATCAGCACGCACGACAGCCGGGGCTCGTCGAATGCTAGATCCGCCACTAGTATCATGGACATTTTGAAGTTAATAGAAATTAGAGCAATCATTTGGTGTATATAATGCTACATGTATTTGTTATTACCTTGAAATGGTTTGTGTGCATGTATTTGCAACAGTTGCAAAAATACATTTCATTTAGTTGAGCTAAAGACATTCAACCACAAGTATCACAATCCATATACTGAAGTGATTCGGTCTCTATCTTCAATTCTTTCTTTTTATCCAGAATGACTTGCGCTGCAATATGTAGAAAGAATGTTACCATTTTTGCGAAAGTAAATATCTATTTAATAGAAAATGAAACAAATAGAAATTAAATGAAAAATGGTTTTATTCTTAGGCCCCGTTCGGGAGGGCTTAAAATCCAATTAAAATTGAAAATATGACCGTTATTGGGTTCCACCCGTCTAATAAAAGTCAACAATAATGACTATATTTTCAATTTTAATCTGATTTTAATCTCTCCCAAACAAGCTCTAAGTCTTAGTCTTTAATTTACCATTGGTGAGTGTTCTGAAATAAAAATGGTTTTAGTTTAGTTTTAGAATAACATTTATTTCAAAATTATTAGATTTTCAATTAAAATTCATTTCACATATGATAAATCACTAAGTATTTGTTTTGCCCCCAATAATTCATTCTCTTTTCTTTTCAATCACATTTTTCAATAAAATAATATTATATGTAAACCAAAAACTTTTCTTTCATT